CTCTCTCTCTCTCTCTCTCTCTCTCTCTCTCTCTCTCTCTCAAATAAATAAAAAATTAAAAAAAAACATTAAAAATAAGACATTCTATAGAGTATTTATAGAAATTATAATTATAGAGTTAAAATATAAATCAATATGTCCATATAGTTCAAACCTTCAATAAAATTTTTAATTCCCTTTCATAAATGCAGATAATGTACAATGAGATTCTAGCATGTAGCCCTTGCACAAAGTGACCTAAGACCTTAAGAATCTTTAAAACTAGCTGGAAGTTTCTGAAATACCTTAGATTTAATCTTTTGTTGAAGGTAGAAAATGTATTTATATATTTATTCGCTTCTTTAGTTTCATCCTCTGAGAAGTGTGTGTTCATCTCAGATGCCCATTTCTGGACTGGGTCTTTAAATTTTGGGGCCCTAGTGTTTTTTTTAGTTCTTTATAAGTTCTAGAGAGCAGGCCTTTGTCTGAGTACTTATTTATCATGATTTTTTTCAAATATGTGGGTTTTCTTTTCACTTTGTTGGTAATTTCTTTTGACATGCAAAAACTTCTCAATAAGAGCAGGTCCCAGTTGATAATTCTTTCAAGTGTTTCCCATGCGATTTGATTTTTGTTCATAAACTCTTTGCCTACCCCTATGTCTTCAAGAGTTCCTCCTACTTTCTCTTTCAGGAGATTCAGTGTTTTTGTTTTAATGTTTAGATCTTTAATACATTTTGACTTTACCTTAGTGCATGGTGATAGACCTGGGTTAAGTTTTAGTTTTCCGCATGTAGAGAGCCAGTCTTTTCAGCACCATTTGTTAAAGAGGTCATCTCAGGCTTTCATGGGGAGCACATTGTCCAAGTAATGGCCGTGACTGATCCACATGGCTGACACTGACAAAGGATCTACAATCTGAGGTACAGGATCTCAGGATAAACCCTGAGGGGATTTGACTGACCTTGTCAGATCCAAAAGCTACAACTCTTGTTGCATAGTTCTTGCTTTATCTTGGTCTTAACCATCCAGCAGAAAAGTATAAAAACAAAGTACAAGAAGTAAAGCCATGTTATTATGTTGAGCTGTAGGGGACTCAGGTCAAAATTTCTGACACTGCCAGTCAAGCAGAATATGCAATACTATTATGGATTTGTGGACTCTTTTAGAATATTTTGCTGAGTTAACACACCTATAATATTCAAGTGACAGAACTAAACAAAAAAGGGATATATAAATGAATGTCCATTTTGTATTTGTGTATTCAAAATGGTTAGGATAGATATATAGTTACATTCTCTTAATGAATAGAGGGATTTGTTATAATAGTGTTTGTAAATAGGGTATCATATCTGCATCTCATACAGCAAATAACCACTAGGAAGACAATATGCAATGTGTTAATTATTGAAACTGTCCTACCAATTTGATTTGAAACTGTCTCATTTCTATTTGTCTGTCAATAAAATAATGGGGGAAAAAAGAAAATGGGTTTAAAAAAATAAAAGAAAACGGATTTTAAATTTTCTCATGCTAGACTTAAAGTTCAATATTTCCAAGTTGGATTTATTTCTATCTTAAAGTTTAAGATAACTTTGCTTAGATTAATGCAAAAAGGTTATGTATTTAATTAATCCAATTTTACTGATAAATCAAAATTTAATACATTATACTTAAAATGGCTTAATCTTAAAGAATATGAATTTAATTTCAATGAATTATTGAAATGTTTTCATGTACAGAAATTTCAGACAGGAAAATATGGCCTATACTTTGAATTGCAGGTGATTTATCAATAATTGTATCTACTAATTAGTTACTTGCATTAGTTTTTTAATATGGTAAAAACGATGCTTAATAAGTTAACTTGGGTACTTACAAGGCAGGAATCTGCTTCACCCTCATCCATTGGTTCATCAACCATTTTAAGAACATTTACCTGAAAAACAGTGTTCAAAAGTTGAAGTCAAAAAATATTAAGACAAGAGTAATAACTAAAAAAATATGCAGGCATTTACTTTTATAATCTAACAAGATCCCAATTAGTGAAAAACAAAGGAACACAAAAAATACTTAGAAAAGGAAAACTATTAATATCGTTCAAATATTGCTAGTGAATAACCCTGACTTCTTTAGCTTTATACCTCTCAAATAGATTAATTTAAAATTCATGAGACACTATATAGAAGAATAAACTATAGGCGACATATCTATGTGTCCCAAGGAAGCAAAATCATTTAAATACACAAAGCACAGTTAAATTTATACTTTCTCTTTAACCAATAATTAAAGAAAAAGTAATACTGAGGATATAGATCTAAGATCTCCAAACTATAATTCATGAGCCAAATCTGACCTGCCACCTCTTTCAGCACAAAATATTACTGGAACACAGTCATATCATACACTTATTTGTATACTTTTTATACTGTATACTTATTTTATATTATCTTTGGTTTCTTACACACTATAGTATCTGAATTGAGCAACTGTAACAGAGATCCTATGCCTGCAAGGTTTAAAATATTTATTAATCGGTTATTTACAGAAAAAAAGTCTTACAATCACTGATCTAGATGTTTAAAAGGCATGTAGTAGCAACTTGTATTTTTTTTAAAAAATAATTTTATCACAGAGCATCTATAAGAGTCCATTGTTGGGTGGGTGGGGGACATAAATTAGAACTACTGGTAAGGCCAAAGTAAAGAATAAATCCACTAAGCTTGTTTGTCTCTTAATTATAAACTAAAAAGGTTAGGCAGAAAAATTTTTTAAAAATTTATGTACAGATTCTGTAAACTAAACAGCACTTACTAGTAGTAAGTACACCATTTAAAAAAAAAAAACTCTGACAAGTTTCCTACATTTACTTCCTAACTGTATACCCTCAATTTGTCCTGAGAAAAGGCTGAGACTTATAACTCTCATATAGGCATGAACAAATGTTTGCCGAGAAATCCCACACTGTAGACATAGGGGAAACTAGGTTTTCTAAATTTTTACTTTGTCTTTAGTCAACTCTCAGCAGTAGTACTCTAAGGCAATAAACAAGTCAAGAGAAAACCTACTTGTGTGGTCTGAAAAAACAAGCAAACTGTCATGATTTCTGAAAAAGATAAAAAGAGTGGGGGCAGTAACACTCCAAGGGCAGCCTCAGTAGTACACAACTATTTGACATTTCTTTGAGAGAAATGAGAAACTTCCCTCTCCCCCAAAAAAGAAACAGCACAAAGGACCCATTGGAAACAGGTAATTTAGAAGAAATCACAGGACAGAATGTGAGAAAGGGAACCCCTAATTCTGTGTATGAAACAATACAAGTTTTGATCTCAACTGCAAATGCATATATATGGGATGTAGCTAAAGAAGTGTAACAAAGATTTTGAAAAATCAAATCTAGTCATAACAATCACTCAAGTTTCAGATTATCCTCTTTAATAGCAAGTGCACAGGGTGGAAAATCCAGAGTACTGACAAAAATGCTCTGAAAATTGACTTAATGTTATACCAATTATACAAACATAATTTGGGAGTCTGAATCAAATAAGATAGACTGCTTACTAAAGCAAAATATGCAATGGTACCAATTCCAAGATTATTGTAATGTTCAAATAAATGTCAAAAACTTTGAAACAGTTGCCATCATTATGCCATCTTAGAAAAAAATAAACACACATAAATACAATAATTAAAACTTTCAAAACAGATACAGAAACTATAAAAAGAATCAATTATAATCTAGAATTCAAAATCATAATAAATGATGTTTTTGAAAATACTGGTTAGGTTCAATAAAAGAAAACAGATGGGAGAGAAAATAGTAAACTTGACAATAGAGCAATAAAAATCATCCATTACAAAGAGGGAAAATTATTAAAAAAGAACAAGCTACTATATAATCCAGGAATCCCACTAATGGTCAGAAAAGGGGTAAATAAGAATATATGATAAATATATGAATTTTAAACCTTCTTACACTCAATAACATGGGTGAATCAGAAATACATCAACTTAAATAAAAGAAGCTAAAATTTAAAAGGCTATATAATAGCTGGTTCCACTTGCAAAGCATTCTGGAAAAGGCAAACTAGAAGAGATTACCAGTTGATGAGGTTTAGAGTGCACTACAAAAGAGTTACACTATAGGACCTGTTGGGAGGGCTAAGGGAACTATTATTTTTTCTTGATTGTGGCAGTCTTTACACAGCACTACCCTTTATTTAGCCTCAGAACCATACATGAAGAAGATCAAATTTTAGTGCATGAAATTTTAAACCAATTTTATGAAAATAGGGAATTTTCCATATTTTCAGTTCCATGAGCAATTTCTCTTCTAATAATAGCAATCAAACCAAATAAAGTCACCAGTGATGTTCAGTTTGCTACTACAACCATATGGATCTCTCTGAAGCATGTCTCATGTGAACACTTTCCTATCTGAGTCTTTGACTTCTGTGATATTATGCTTATTTTATTTTACTACAATTTATCTGACTGCTCCTTTTGCACATCCATGAAACACTAACTCCTCAGGAAAAGCATTAGAATCACCTTCTCATTTCATTCTACATTTTTTCCACAGGAACAAATTTACTGATGCAACCCACATTTACTCACAGATTACACTTCTGAGTTCCTGATCCATATATCCAACTGCCTACTTGACATTTCCAATTGTTTATCTCACATGTCTCTCAAAAATGACAAATCCAAAAAGGAATTAGTGATGCTTTCCAAATCTGCTCTTTCTCCACAGTTCCTCATTTCAATAAACTACACAGTATCTTATCATGTTACCTCAAAAGAAAAAAAAGAAGACTATAGGTTAAAAACACTGTAACAGCTTCATCATAAACATTTAACATTTAGCTAACAGTACAGAAAAAAATAAGACAAGAATCCCGATAATGAAATTTTACATTAACTTGACTCAAGATTATCCATAGAAAAAGATATATAAAGAAAACTATTCTCCATTGAAAATGAAAAATTTGTCATTCCTCTGTAACTTAGTGATTACTTCTTACTCATAATATCTTTTGAGTAATTTTTCATTAAATTGTGAATCAAAATGAACTACAAAAGAAATTAATTTTATTCACTCACAAGGATCATTCTAATCTGGAAATCAGCCTTCAAAAACAGAGTATCACATTCTTTCCATTTATTTTCCCTTCAAGGCAGCAGTTTATAAATATGTGAATATTCATTCTTTTAGGGGTCCATAATATTCACTTAGCATTCCTAAAACTTAAATTTTAATTTTCACTCATGTGAAAATAAATATATTTACAGAATTCTATAGGATAATAAACCTTTCTTTCAAAGATAAACATTTTAAATTTGAAAAAAATATGCTCACAAAATAAGCATCAAATGAAGATACTTTCTGTAGTTTCTGGAAAGCTGATCAAACATTTTAAACAATTTTAAAAAATAAACAGACACTATAAAATTCAAATGAACAGACTCTTTACTCAGATACTACTGCAAAATATTATACAATTGTTTTAATTTTATGAGGAAAGAATTAAATCACTTTGAAGTATTTTTTGACACACAGAAAAGCAAAACTGCTTACTGTACACTCACCTGATTATAGAAAATCAAATGGGTCACTTTAAACATATTATCTCACTACCAGTCACACACACACACACACACACACACACACACACACACACAAACGCATCAATGAAAATTAAAATGAGAAAAAAAAAGTTTCCCCTTTAGATCCCTAGAATTAGAGGTGTCATGGAAAAGTGAAATATAATTTCAAGTGGTTCTGAAAATCTTACTACTATCTGGCCATGACTCTATGATATGTATACCTATTTCCTAGCATTTGAACATAAGCATGATGAAAGAAAGTTCAGTTTGCTGGTTAAAAGTATAGTGAATAGAAAAGACACATATAAATAATGAACTTTATAGAAAATATGAGTGAAAAGGCCAGCCAGATAGCTCAGCGGACTAAAGCCCCTGCTTAGGCAGAGCGCAGCAGCACACTGTACTGAGCCCTGCCCCCAGGACAGGCTGAGATGGCTATTAAGACTGGAAGTGGTGGCGCAAACCTGTAATCCCCGCACCTAGAAGGCTGAAAACAGGAGAATCACTATGAGTCTGATCTACATAGTGAGAACCTGTAGACCCTGTACTAAATCCGTTAGAAAAAAAGAAAAAACATGAGTGAAGACTTAAAATGGTGGGATTAGAAACCAGTAAGAAAATACAAGCTCTCTGGGGACTGAAATCAGGACCTCTAGGAAAACAGCTTGGTAAACAGAAAAAAGTAGGTATTTGAGAATCAGGAAGGAGCTGATAGAAAAACTAGAAACTACAGAGAAGCTTGAGAAATGGAGCATAATACAGAGTAAATAATAATACATTCTAGAAAGTTGATCCCAGCTACTACTGGGAAAGGAGCCCTATCTCAACTGAGACACGGCAAACACAGAAAGTCAGGAGCTCCAAGCAAAACAAAAATCTGGGCTGCCATTACTAGCACCAAGTAAAACTCATATAGCTATTGCAAACTACAAAAACAGCATGGAACTTTATTCTAAAAGTGACTCCACATGACAAGATAGAGATGGAAAAGAAATTCAAGGAAGAGTCTTTCATGTTTGAGAGGGTTTAATCAAGAGCCATTTGGGGAAAGGATAAAGTTTGCAATAAAGCCACCAAACAACCACTGACCAACCATAGTTCAGGGTTTCTAGCATCACACTACCATAGTGGCTGAGTGAGAGACAGCAATAAGAGACAGTAACAGGGACAGGACAGGGACACATATTGACCACCTGAGAAGTTTAAGCACAGGCTGGGAAGGACACAGGGGTGTCCCTTACTTGGAGAAAACCAGGCAAATCATGTCTCTTTCAGAAGGGGCTAGATTTGAAAGTGCTGGCATTAAGTCCACAGGTCTGCTTGAACCCC